TTGTTATTACTTTCATTGAGGCGGTAAAAAGCAACCACTGACTCACTGACCAACAATCCAAGTCAGGCCATCTGCAGTGTTGACAGACTTTGTTTGTAGGATTGTGTCTAAATGGATTGTGTCTAAGCCACTGTGTAATTATGGATCCTTTGTGATTTCACATTTTCATCTTAGAGTCAATTTTCTTTCTTTCATATGGCATGTTGTATTTAGTAGCTTATCTGAATACATCAATATGGTTTTGAAAAGGATAAAATCAAATTGTAATAGTCTTTGTTGTCATAATGTGTGTATACCCAAGCAAAAAGAAGGTAAAACAGATAGATACATGATCTCATTGTATTTCCATGTTTCAGACATTGGAAACATGATCCTACCCCTGTATTTTCTCCTAAGTAGGAAGGGTGGATTTATTTCTCATATATTTATAAATCAACAGGTGAAAAAGAGAAGACTGACTGACACTAGTGTACTAGATGACAAAGACATTGTAAATGAAGTAGAGAAGACTTTCCAACTGCAGGGCTTACAATGATAGGAAATAGTGCTACAAACATAAAAAGAGATATTATATTAACTTTACGCATCTTATTTTAAAATCTTGATGTAAGCAAAAAGGTTTTATTTATATACTTATATACTTAAATATATATATATATATAAGCATGTAAATACATATATTATTAAAAATCAGTGTTTTCACTGAATAACTTTCAGCACCAGCCCTCAACTTTGGCTGTATGTTAAAAACAGAATCTCTGTTGCTGAAATACACACATCAATTTTTTTTTTGCGACATCATGAGATGATTCCAATATACAGCCAAGATTAAGAGTCACAAATATGAGATCATATGGTATTTGTCTTTCAACACCTGACCTATTTCACTCAGCATAATGCTTTCCAGTTCCATCCATGTTGTTGCAAAGGGTAGTAGGTCCTTCTTTCTCTCTGCTGCATAGAATTCCATTGTGTATAAGCAGAATAAAAACAGACACTGAAATAGAGAACAAGGGGACAGTGACCAGAGGGAAGAGGGAAGGGAATTTAAGGGGAAAAAAGGGGAGGGATTTGGAGGAACAAATAGGAAGGACACAGGGACGAGAACTAAGGAGGGTGGAAATGGGAGGGAGGTGGGGAGCATGGGGCGGGGAGGGGCGGGATGGGAGAAATAGACAGAAAACTGTACTTGAAAAATAACTACATAAAATTTTTAAAAAGTCACAAATACATTATTACAGCATTAAAAGGAAATAAACTTGCACTTTAAGTATTATAGATTTAGAATGTCATAGTACAGTATAAATATGAAATATCACTGTGATAATACTTATGGTTTTACTGGAGTACCAGATTTGGGGAAGTTAATTGGACTAGTAAGAATCAAATACTCCTTTCAATTTGATGAAAATCACTTTTGTAATCTGCCACTTTTACTCTTTATTACTTATACATTATGCTCCCACAATAATGTCAGTTTTACCAATTTCATTTAGATGTTTACATAAGAGAAAACTAATGCCTTCATAAGGCAGATTGCTAAAACAGTATTTGGTCTGTGTGTACATAATTTGGTGAAAGTTGATTTTCTATGCTTAGTTTTAATTAAATAATCCTTGGGGAAAATCATTGCTCCATTTGATTAAAGATATATATATTTCAGCATAAGATTAAGGCATACTTTTGAGTAATTTTTGTTTTAATTTTGATACCAGTAATATTTAAAATGTTTCATAGAGCATATTATATGGGGAAAACATTACTGTTACTAATATTATTAAATAACATATTACCTTATTATTATCATTTTACTTGTTTATTGCCCAGAGTATTGAACTAGCTATGTAATTTAAAATTTGTACTCAGTGAAATCAATATTCGAATTAATCAGCTTTGAAAGACCTTTTCAATTCCAACATTTGGCAATTCTGGCCTTTTAGACCAAGTAATGTCTACCACACATTCAAGATTATCTACTTTAGTCTTACTATGTAAAATATGTAAAAGCTGAAGTGGACAGTATTGAAATTGTCCTTGTAATATTACAAAGGAGACATTGTTCACCATCTATCAGGGAGAAGAGAATACTAGAGCAGTCCAATCTATTTAAGTATCCCCACCTGCATCATACAGATTTCTTTTATTTGTTTATTTATAATGATGCCTGGAAAATCAGGGAGTTACAGATTCTACCATCTTAGAAACTACATCTTTTTAAAAAAAACCTAAATGACACTTTAAGTAATTTTTCTTGAGTAAAGCAAAAAATTATTGTATTTACCTTTGTAAGAAATGTACTTTTTATATTTTATACGTCTTAAGTCAGGATAAGTGTTATAGTTAATGGTTAGTAACAGGCATTGTCAGCCAGCCAGCAGCTGTACTGTAGGCAGTATTTTTTGAGTATGAATGTGGTCCTGGCTATTTATACAGCGATACTTTAACTAAGTTATGTGTGCTGAATAAATTACATGTGTCCAATGTAAATGTAACCAACATTTCCCCAAAGAGACTGCAGTTAGATTGTAAGATATGTTTAGTGGTACCTAGGATCCTGTTGTATCTTATCATAGGTGAAATAGAGGCAATAATAGCTTTGATGAAATACAGGCAATAATACTAGTTCAGTGTATCACAAAGGTATCAGAAACAATGCATATCCTACCTCACTGATTCATATATTATTGCACTTGAGGTGACCAGATAAACTAACATAGAAAATGTTTTGATTTTTATAACCTAAGAATTATTCTATAAATAATTTTATTATTAAAGTTTTCTTTGCGAAATAGCTTTTCACATAGGAAAAGGAGGAAGAATTAATGAAAATATTAGCCATATTTTATTTTTATGCTACATTAAGTAATGACATGGTGCAGAGATTTTCTAAGCAAACATAATAGCTTCATTGATGGTGAATTGGCTCAATATAACTTTGTCACATATTATGAATACAGAATTAGTATTTGTGACTAGATTGTTTAAACTACAAAAATAGACCATGATAGAAATGGTTTAAGAGGTAGATCTAAGTGTCTGCTTTTATTTTGATATTTTAAGTGATTTATTTACCTAAATGAATGCCTGATTCATATTTTCTTTGTTGGCATTTAGTATAACATAAAAATTTGTTGAATTTTAAATTCATCATGTTATTCCAAATACTACTGAGTAGCATTGATAGACTGTAATTCTTGGGTAAAACTAGTTGTTGACTGTTAGACTGCTTTCAGCCCATTTTTCCAGTATTACTTCTTTATTGGTAATGATAACAATGATGATTATCCTCACCACACATTTTTCTTAACATACTGAAAGTGGTGAGGTGTTTTGGTGATGCCGAAGAATTGAGAGTTGGGGAAAATCATGGAGACAAACTTTCTGACTTACCAATATGGCTTCCTAAGTTCATAGAGTGCTGAGCTGCATAGAGCTATAAGCCAAATGATGATGAAGCACATAGAAAGTACTTGAATCTGGCAGCAGAATGGGGAGAGATGACTATGAACCAAACTACCTTTCCTCCCTACATTTTTCTTCTCCTATACATATAATATCTCATATATTACAGATGCTTATTAAATGTGTTTCAAAAAATATATACTGAAGAAAAGTAGTTCAGGTATATGTACATTCTTATTTGATTATATTGCAGAAGACTTCACTAAGTAGGTAAAATTTATACTACTTTAAAAGATGATTAAAATCTGAATTGGCACACAATCAGTATTTGTTTTATTATATGTCTTTATCTTCTCACATTTTATTGGATTTTCGCATTCACAGGTAATTATAGCAATGCTTGTTTTGTGTCATGTGTTCATGAGTGGCAAGAAATACTGGGTTCATTTTGTTTTATAGAATAACTTTAATCATCTAATTCTTCAGAATATTTTTTGTGAAAAAATAATGTGAATAAACTTTAATTCCAGCTATGGATACCCACTAGCATTTTTAAAATGTTTTATAATCATGATCATTTAAAATTGCATGACAGAAATGTCTGAATGTTGAATGTTGACACACTGATGGGGTAAGGACCACCTGTGTCATTAAACTTTGGATGACTACCAGAACAATATGCATATTATTTATCCAAATGTACATTTTAAATTGATTGCTTGAAAATTAAAATCTGGGCTGCTTTGAATTCATGAGTGGAGTTAATTTTTTTTCAGGAAATCAAGTTCTAACAGTAATGACAGTTTGGATTAGCCCCTTACTAATCAGTGTGCTCCAGGGACCAGTGGCCTCTGAGCCACCTGGATGCCTTTTTAATAGTGCAGAAGCTCAGACTGTAACTCAGACCTGTGGAATCAGAGCCTGCATTTTTTAAAATCCCTAGGTAATTCCTGTGCCCATTAAGAGTTGAGGAGTGCTGGTGGCCTACTTATCCCCTCTCCTGATCTCCAATTTGATTGTACAAAACACTAACTGAGACTCTGCCATATACATCCTGGCTCTTAAACTTTTCTTCAAAGTAAACATGATTATAGTGTTCTCAAAGAGAATGGAAAGCATGCCTGACTTGATTTGAGTATAGAAAAAATAATCTTAATTCTACATGCTTCAAAACCCTGTGGATACATGTCTTTTTATGTTTTTAAGAGTTTTTGAGTTATATAATAATTCTCCTTTTCTAAACGATGATTAAAACTGTATCCACTAAATGAATTAATTTGTTCCTGTTGTATCTGGTCTTCGACTGACAGTCTCAGAACATTATTTTAGCATTCTTAGGCTTGTGGAAGTCATGCTACTTGGTTCTCTGAAGGAGTTAAAGTGAAATATTAGTAATTGTTCATATTTAATTTTTAAATGCCAACTGATTACTCACAGCATTTATAAAAAGGAAAATTATTATAGATATGCATAAGATGTTTCCTTAATAAAGACTTTTCAAGCTTAAAATCATGCTATTATGGGTATTTTTTATTACAGTGATCAGAATGAAAAATGAATTATTTATTAACATATCCTTCAACATTTCCCCTTTCCAGATGCAAGACAAAGGTCTACCCCGATGAACTTCCAAACACAAGTGTAGTCATTGTGTTTCATAACGAAGCTTGGAGCACTCTCCTCCGAACTGTTTACAGCGTTATTAATCGTTCCCCACACTATTTACTTTCTGAGGTCATCTTGGTCGATGATGCCAGTGAAAGAGGTATAAATATTTTTCTCATATATTTTCTTAAATTAGAAAACTTTGTTATGGTCAAAAGGACAGCTGGGAAATGATCTGTGTTTTCCTTATAATTATACTAGCCCTGAAACCACCCATCGTAATCACTGCCTTTTCATCAATGTACCCGGGCAATGCCAACTCCAGAAACAAGTAACTAATTATTACAGTTTCTCTCAGGATTCCATTTGGTTCTTACTAACCCAGGAAATCAGCCAAAATGACTTTCAAAACAGTTCTTTTTTTCTTGCAACTCGACTGCTTATGTGATTGAGCATTTGTATGACTTTATGGATACTTGTCCTTTTTTTTTTCTTTTAGTTCAGGTAAATGCAAAATAACATAATTGAGGAGCCTGCATTTGCCAGTGTGGCCCAGTTTCTCAGTTACAGTTTGGTATATTAACTTCCTATTTTATCCTTATCCTTGTCAGCCAGGTGGCAGGTTATAATGAACTTGACATGAATAGACTGATGCAATCTCTCTACCTTAAGTCACCGACTGCAAAAAGAATTGCAAGAGTTCGGGACTATTTATTTCTATGTGCTGAATTCTCACCTGGCTCATAGTATCTCTGCTGTGTCTTAAAACAGTTTAAAAACTTTCTTATAAGTTCTTATTGCGTGTTACAGATTTTCTCAAGTTGACATTAGAAAATTATGTGAAAAATTTAGACGTGCCAGTAAAAATTATCAGAATGGAAGAGCGCTCTGGGTTAATACGTGCCCGCCTCCGAGGAGCAGCTGCTTCAAAGGGGCAGGTCATAACCTTTCTCGATGCCCACTGTGAATGTACTTTTGGATGGCTGGAGCCCTTGCTGGCCAGAATAAAAGAAGACAGGTAAGAACTCGTGTGTTAGTCTGCCTGGGTCATGTCTGAACCTGTCAGGACTGTTTAGACTTTCCATTAAAACTTTTCTAGGTTGCTAGTTTCAGGAGGTTTATGTCCTAGCTTTTAAAAAAGTCATACCCTAGCCTTGGATGGTGGCCAGGTTGGTTGGAGCATCACCCCGTCCAGCATCAGGTTGTGGGTTGGATTCCCTGGTGGAGGTGCACACAGGAGGCAGTCCATTCGTGTTTCTTCCTCTCATCAGTGGTTCTCTTTCTCTTTCCCCTTTCCTCTTTCCGTAGAATCTATGGAAGCATATCCTTGGATGAGGATTAGAAATAAAAATAAAATAATACAATGAAATAAAATTAATTAAATTAAATAAGCCATCCCCATCTTCCTCGCTTAATAGAGACCTTGGCTTATTTGTGCTACACATGAATATTTGATTAAGAAATAGTCAATTCAAACAGTAAACATGTGTTGAATATTCATTTTATCAGGTGAAAGAAAGCAGTATAATTTAAAATAGTGCAATTTTGGCAGATTTTCAAAGCACCTTATTGTATCCTCACAACCACTCCGTGAGGTAGGTAATGTAGATATTCTTACCTGTACCTGTGTACTTGTGCCTAATAATAAGGAGGAACATACAAGTTAAGTAGCTTGGCCCAGTTATTGAGAGTAATGGGAGTAATTCAGTTCTTCCCATTCCCAGATCAGTTTTCTTTCTACTAGGTCAGTGTCCTTATTCAAAGTCTAGTTCAAAACCACCTTGCCAGGACCTTAAAAATAAACACATAAAATCTTACATTCCACTCATAATTAAAAAAAAACATGGAGAGCACAGCAATAAAAAATGTTTCATTATTTAAACAATAGTGCCACTTTGTATATAAAATGGTGAAATGAAAGATGAAATAATATGTTATAGAAATGAAGAACTCTTATGTATAACCGCAATTCTCTTTGATGACAAGGCTATGAAGTATCAGCTTTTTTTGACCATACCCATAAACATTGATGATAAATGAGTGTAATTCCCAAGCACTTAAGGAAGACAACTATGTTAAATACTGTCTGATATAACATAGTATTGCTTAAAACCTTGCTTGCAAAGTCATTTCACCCACAGTAAAAAGGTCTTTGTAGAATTGAAGTTTTTAATTAAACACCCTGACAGGGCCGCGCAGTGCGAGCTAGTCCAGCTATATCACATAAGTGGCAAGATTTGGTACTTGCCAGGAAGATGGATGGAGGTTGTTAAAACTGAACCATAGCAGTTGAATAAAGCAGTAGGAACCTTTTAGTCAACCAAGTGTACTACACAGCTAATAACGTTTTTCCACCCTGCGTATTGTACGGAGCCTACAGGAGGGTAAGACTGGCAAAATAAAATGAACTTGAAACAACTTGAATGCATTTGCTGGCAACATTTCATACATTATACTGCTTTTTAAACATGTGTTTCATATTCAACTTAGCGAGTATTTAATATGATACTGTTTTAATACGACCGTGCATAGATCATTTACTTTTTAATCTAACAACATATCTAAACTGTATTTGTGTGTAATGAACTCCAATATGTTGTCCTACTTGTAAATTCTGAAGTTGCCATAACATATAATAAAGTCCTGTTCAATGTTATTAGATCTAATTTCATCTCCTTACAAATTTAATTATTAAATTTAATGAAGAAAGAGAGAAAGATATTGATTTTGTAGGAACCAGTGTTACCAAGGAGTTTTTCCAAAGATAGATGAATTTTATTGATTTCAGAGAACTCTAGGCTTTAATTAATTGTGTGGAATATAAAACCCTATTGAAATAAGTGTTGGTGATACTGGTGTGAAGAACCGGAATACGTGATGGATAGCATTTCTTTACTTTCCACATCTATGGGTGATTCAAAAGCATATTTGTGTATTTACCTTGGACCAAAACTGAAAAATAAGCTCTGCTCTTCGGAACTGGCTACAACTAAGGCAAACCTGTGTAGACCCACAGATTTACTGTGAAGAGGACACAAGGTTGATCCTGTAGCAAAACATATAAGCCAGGAATAGGGGAAGACTTGAAAAAGCACAGCTTGGATTAAAAGAGTACCTAATGACTTCCCAAGGTGAAAATTTCTTACCCTAAAAGCCACATCCAGAAGCCTAAATTTCCTGGCTGTTCCTCTTTTTTAACAGAAGGTGGGTCTGGTGTTAAACACTGGAAACCGATGTTGATTATTTTTTTCTGTCTTAAAACATGTAGATTGTTATAATAAACATCTTAAGTTGAGGACAGTTCACTCAGAAATTGTCACGACCCTAATATCTTCTATAGGAAGCATTTACTTAAACTGATGCCACTATTTTTATGGTTATTTCTGTTTGTTGATTTTTGTTTGTTTTTTTCATAGTAGATATTTCCTCCATAAAGATTTTCTCAGAACTGTCTCTTTGAACTAACCTAACCTCTCTGAGAGTCAAACTACAAGATCTAATTTGCAATCATTCATTCTCCTGTAGCCTGTTGCTTTTCTATAAGTGAAATTGCTAAAATGATGCATAATATCGAAACAGTTCTACTAATCATGCTGTAGGGGAAGGTTTTATGAAAAATAGACCATGTTCATCCTGCTGAGTTCATAGTTAGAATGCATTTGAAAATCAGCTTGAAGATCAGTTATTATATTTGATCAGATTATACATGGGAGTATAAAGTTGACTTTGATAAAAAGAAATAATTTCATAGAAAAAAAGATAAAAAATAAAAGCATATTAATTTCACAAAATAATTAAACACATCAGACATATCTAGTTTGAAAAAACAGATGTAATATTTAAATTATTATTTGTCTGTAAACTGGTTTTACTTTCCTTGCAGGAAAACAGTTGTGTGCCCCATCATTGATGTGATCAGCGATGATACCTTTGAATATATGGCTGGGTCAGACATGACCTATGGGGGTTTCAACTGGAAACTGAATTTTCGTTGGTATCCTGTTCCCCAAAGAGAGATGGATAGGAGGAAAGGAGACAGAACATTACCTGTCAGGTATGGAGCTCCTTCTTCCAAAGGATAGCATGTGTATTCTTATAGTAGTTAAGAAGTATTATAAATTTGTGTTCTCATTTTTAAGTCTTTAGAAGTCATAAAGTTTTTATTCATATACTCATGTTATCACCTTTTACATCATCTTCTAAGAATTGATGGTTATATTAAATCTAGTTTAAATTAGCACAGGCAAATTTCAGTATTGGCATAAGTGCCTAATTTCCTTCGAAACTTTGTGTAATCTTATATTCAAAATGTATTTTTTGTAAGTTTTCTACATGACAGATATGTGCTCTGTGCTAGCCTTGCCAATTCAGGTAGACATATGCACATATTTTACCTAAATGTATATGCTTTATAGTAGTGGTGCACTCAAAATTGAAATAATCAAAATATTCTAAATTTACCAACCTTAAAGAACTGAATTCCTGGCAGATACAAAAGAAAGATCCATTTAGAAATTTTAATGTATTAACAATTACAAAGGAATTTTTGTTCCAAATTATTGAAAATAGCTACTTAATTTGAAATATTCATAAAATATGTTTGCCCATAGTACAAAATGAGAAATATCATATGCATCTTTAGTTGTCTAGATAAGCATTACCTACTTTATTAGCATAAAATGACCACCTTCTTACTTTAACATATTGTTGCATACCTCTTACCTGCAACCAAAAATTGATTTCCTGAATAATATACTTCAGGAGGAGTTCACTAGTTTAGCTCTTTAACCATTAATTTGACATATCATCATTTAGCTAGAATAATAGAGAAATGCCATAACATTCTAAAACAATATATATAGTCCTTTATCTAAATAAAAATGTTTTCTAAACTAATGAGGAATTGACAGCCATTGGCAAGATTAATTATATAATGAATTAAGTAAAACTAACTCTAAAAATTTGCCCATGGAAGAGAACAGCTCTCATTGTTTGTTATTGAATTAAATATTGGGGTTGTTAACTTTATAAAGAAGCTATTACTACATCAAAGAAAAAATGTGGCTATAATAATTGATAAAGAGATAAAATTATGATATTACTTAAAGTGTGATTTAGTAGTCCTGAAATCTTGCTGATTTAGTAGTCCTGAAATCTTGCTGTAATCTTCCCATTCATCAAGTTTTATTAATCCTTGCCTTTAATAATTGAGGAAATATAGTAGCTCGTTACCATTGTTTATTAGAAATCCTATTTTCCCACAGCATGGTAGCATTTAGTGTTAGCTGGTTTTTCGTTCAGATCCCAAGTGAAATCTGTCAAAATATTTGAGCTCAAATATACATAATGTATTTATTTATTTGAAAATGAATCTTAAAAATGTTTTTTGTCTTTCAACACCTGGCCTATTTCACTCAGCATAATGCTTTCCAGTTCCATCCATGTTGTTGCAAAGGGTAGTAGCTCCAGTACCTTATGATCTCACCTTTAACAGGAAGCTAAACAACAAAACAAACAAGCAAGCAGAATAAAAACAAAGACACTGAAATAGAGAACAAGGGGACAGTGACCAGAGGGGAGAGGGAAGGGAATTTAAGGGGGAAAAAGGGGGAGGGATTTGGAGGAACAAATAGGAAGGACACAGGGATGAGAACTAAGGGGGGTGGAAATGGGAGGGAGGTGGGGAGCATGGGGCGGGGGGTGGGGCTGGGATGGGAGAAATAGACAAAAAAACTGTACTTGAAAAATAACTAAATACAATTTTTAAAAAGTGCAAAAAAATGTTTTTGTACTCATTTTTTTAAACACTGGCAAAAGTTATGCTTTATTTTACATTTTTTCAGGTTTTCAGTTTATTTTATTTTCTGAGCTTTAATATTTATTTTAATTTTATTTAAAAATTTTTTTCAATTACAATTTACATTTACTATTATTTGTGTATTAGTTTCAGATGTACAGCCTATTCGTTAGACAATCATATACTTTACAGTGTTCCAGCTGATATTTCCTGTACCCACCTGGCACCAAACACAGTTATTACAATATTATTGACCAATGTTCCTTGTGTTGTGCTTTACCTCCCAATTACTGTTTTGTAACTAACAAAGTTCAGATCTGTACTTCTGAATCCCTTCGCATTTCTCACCCAGTCTCGCAAACCCCCTCGCTTCTGCCAACCATCAGTCTGTTCTTTGTATCTATGAGTCTGTCTCTGTTTTGTTTATTTTGTTCTTTAGATTTCGCATATAAGTGAAATCATAATGGTGTCTTTCTCTGACTGACTTCACTTATCATAATATTCTCAAGGTTCATCTATGATTTCCTAAATTGCAGTACTTTATCTTTTCTTATGGTTAAGTAGTATTTTACAGTATATATGTGTCATATTTTTTTATCCAGTCATCTATCAAAGTACACTTTGGTCGTTTCCATTTCTTGGCCACCAAGAATAATGTTGCACTGAGCATAAGGGTGCATACTTCTTTGTAAATAAATGTTTTCCATTTTTTTGTGTAGATACCCAGATTAGGGATTGCTGGGTCAGATTGTAACTATTCTTAATTTTTTGAGAAACCACAATATTGTTTTCCATAGTGGCTGTACCAGTTTACATTCTGACCTGCAGTGAATGAGAGCTCCTTTTTTTCCCACAACCTTTCCAACACTTGTTATTGCCTGCCTTAGTCCATTCTAACAGCTGTGAGGTGGTATTTCATTGTAGTTTTGATTTGCATTTCCCTAATAGCTTGTGACATTGAGCATCTTTTTATGTACCTATTGGCCATTCGAATATCTTCTTGAAACAAGTGTCTGTGTAGGTCCTTTGCCCATTTTTTAAAATTGGATTGTTCGGTGTTGAGTTGTGTGAGTTCTTAATGTATTTTGGTTATTAACTCCTTGTCAGAGCTGTTTGCCAATGTTAACTCCCATTTGGGTGGTTGCCTTTTGTTTTGTTCATGGATTCTCTTGATGTGAAAAAGCTTTTTAGTTTGATATAGTCCCATTCATTTATTATTTGCCTTTGCTCCCCTTGACTTTGGGGTCAAATTCATAAAATCTTTTTTAAAAATTTTTATTTATTTATTTTTAGACAGAGGGGAAGGGAGGGAGAAAGAGAGGGAGAGAAACATCAACGTGTGGTTGTCTCTTGTGCTCCCCACACTGGGGAACCTGACCTGCAACCCAGGCATGTCCCCTGACTGGGAATCGAACCAGCGACCTTCTGCTTCACAGTTTCGGTGCTCAAACCACTGAGCCACACCAGCCAGGGCCAAATTCATAAAATCTTTTCTAAGACCCAGGTCCATAAGTTTAGTACCTGTGGTTTCTTCTATGTAATTTACTGTTTCAGATCTTATATTTAGGTCTTTCATCCATTTTAAATTAGTATGCGTGCACATGGGAAAAAACTATACTCTAGTTTTATTCTTTTGCATTTGACTTTCCAATTTTCCCAGGATCATTTATTGAAGAGGCTTCTTTTTCCCTCCTCCAGTTTATGTTTTTGGCTTCTTTGTCAAAAATTATTTGTCCATATACATGTGGTTTTATTTCTGGACTCCCAATTCTGTTCCATTGGTCTATATGTCTGTTTTTTTTCTGATAATAGCATGCTGTTTTGATTATAGTAGATCTGTAATATAGTTTGAAGTCAGGTAATGTGATACCTTCAGCTGTTTTTTTTCAGGATTGCTTTGGTTATTCTGGGTCTTTTATGGTTACATACAAATTAGATTATTTCATTTTTTTTAAATGACATTGGAATTTTGATGGGGATTGCAAAAATCTGTATATTGCTTTGGGTAATGTGGACATTTTAAATATGTTGATTCTTCCAATCCATTAACATGGGATATCTTCCCATTTCAATGTCTGTGTCAATCTCTTTCAATAATATTTTGAAGTTTTCAGAATATAGATCCTTTATATTCTTTGTTAAGTTTATTCTTGGACATTTTATTCTTTTGGTTGTAATTGCAAAAGGATTTTTTTTCATTTTCTTTTCTGAAAATTTATTGGTAGTGTATAGGAATGCTGTGGAATTTTGACATTAATTTTGAATCTTACAGATTGACTATTTATTTATTGTTTCTAGTACTTTTTGGTGGAGTCCTTAGGGTTTTCTGTCTACACACTCATGCCATTTGCAAAAAGTGACACTTTTACTTCTTCATTCCCAGCTTGGATATCCTTATTTCTTTATCTTCCCCAATTGCTCTGGCTGGGATGTCCAGAACTATGTGGAATAAGCATGGTGAAAGTGGGCAACCCTGTCTTGTTCCTGATTTCAGAGGAAAGGCTTTCTTTCAGATGTATGATATGATATGATATGATATGATATGATATGATATGATATGATATTATTGAGTATGATATTGGCTAAGGATTTATCATATATGACCTTTATTATGTTGAGATATCTTTCTTCTATATTCATTTCATTGAGTGTTATAATCATAAATGGGTGTTGTATCTTATAAAATGCTTTCTCTGCATCTCTCAATAAGATTATATAATTTTCCCTTTGTTTTGTTAATATGGAGTATTACTTTGACCAATTTGCATTTGCTGAACCATAGTTGTGCCTCAGCAATTAACCCCACTTGTTCATGATGTATTTGTTAATGTATTGTTGTATTCAATTTGCTAGCTTTTTTAAAAAAGGAAATAAAGCATTCATCAGTGATACTGCTATATAGTTTGTGTGTGTGTATGTTATTCTTGCCAGACTTTGGTATCAGGATTATGTTTCCCTCTACAAATGTGCTAGAATGCATTGCCTCTTCTTCAATTTTTTGGAAGAGTTTGCAAAGGATACATGTCAAATCTTTGAATATTAGGTGGAATTCACTAGTAAACCCATCTGGTCTTGGACTTTTATTTTTGGGGAAGTTTTTGATGGTTGTTTCAATTTCCTCTCTGTTGATTAGTCTATTTAGATTTTCCATTTTTTCAAAATTCAGTCTACTAGGACTATGTATTTCTAGGAGCTTATCAGTTTCTTCTATGTTATTGAACTGATGGCATATAGTCTTTGATACTATTCTAATATGA